ACACACACACACACACACACACACACACACACACACACACATGCACATGCATGCGTGTACACTTCAGCACCCAACACTTTTCTCCCTCTCCAGTCTTCTCACTTTCAACGCTTTTGTTTTCGTGGGCACAGGTAAATAAAACTGACACGGCTGCTTAGCTCACCGATAGCATGCTCTTCAAGCTCTAAGACATTCAACACCCTATCACCTCTTTCTTTTGATCGGCCCGCAAACACCTTGTGATTTCTCTCCGAATTGTGATCGATCAGTAGGGGAACATCGAAATCGATTTCTTCGACCCGGCTTGACGGCGTTTCAATCACTGCCTTGTGTTACCAAAGTGAAAGCATGGAAGGCCCAGCCTTCAAGCAAACAAGAGGGTGCGTCTTAAAGCTCCTAGCCTGGTGCTAGGGAGACCGAGAGGGGGGGCAGAGGTAGAGAGAGAGACTCTCTATTGACGGCGCGGGGCCATTCAGACCGCTAAACTAGCACTAAAGAATATGCCAGTACCAGAATAGCACTTTAAAAAAGAGAAGGTTGTAAAGGGAGAGGAAAGTGTCAGTGACGATTTCTTTTGGGGATTCTTCGTATCTCCAGTTGTGACGCCATATTTATTTCCACTGACGCTAAGGATTGTGGGTATGTCTTGAACTTAGAAGAGTTTCCTGATTGTCACAGACTCTGTGTTAGAGAACGCTACCGTAAACCCATGAACCTAAAACAATAGTAGTTTCTGGCAAAAATGCGTCCAAAATGGCCGATAAAATGATCGACAGTTTTGTGGGAGAAGGGTTTAGACGATTCTGAGTGAAGTGTTTGCTGTGAACAACAGTCCTACGTTGGTGTGTAGGTCTAGCGAGCTGTGTTGAAGGGAAGACAACCCCCCGGCCGTTGCCAGGCACAAGACAAGACGAGCAGACGACAAGATGGCGACCGACACAGAGAGCATGCACGAGAACATGACCAGGCTTCGGATGAGGATGGTGCAACAGGTGAGTGTTTGGAATTGGTGGCAGAGGAGGAGGAGGAGGAGGTTGTTATTAGTGATGACGATAATAACGGTGCGGATGATAATGATGATGATGGTTTCGGTGACCGTGGGTATGATGATGATGATGATGATGATGATGATGATGATGATGATGATGATGATGATGATGATGATGATATTTTTGTTGAAAGTTTTCAAAGTGCTGGTAATGTTGTTGTGGGGGTGATGATAGTGCTGGTGGGGATGACGATGGCGATTATACTGTTATGATTGTGATGGTACTGTTGTTGTTGTTGTTGTTGTTGTTGCTGATGCTGCTGTTGTTGTTGTTGTTGTCTAGGGTGTTGTTCTTCTTTTGTGATTGTGATTTCGATTAGGGGTTTCGCTGATGTTGTTGTTGTTATTGGGATGAAAGCTATATTTTTTAATTGATAATGTTGCTGTTGTTGTTGTTGTTGTTGTTGTTATTGTTGTTGCTTTTGTTGTTGTTGTCGTTGCCGTTATTGTTGTTGCTTTTGTTGTCTTCTTTATCACCGCTGCTGTTCCTGTAGTTGTTGTTCGTGTTGTGGTTGTTGTTGTTGTTGTTGTGATTGTTGTTGTTGTTGTTGTTGTTGTTGATGATGATGATGATGATGATGATGATGATGATGATGATGATGATGATGATGATGATGTTGCTGTCGTTGTTGTTGTTGGTAGTGGTGGTAGTGGCGGTAGTGATATTTATGTTGTTGTAGTTATTTTACTGTTGAGGATGAGGACATTGATCGTGAAGATATTTTTTTCAAATTTATTGTCTTTCTGGTGGATTTTTAAAATCTTGAGGAGGGGGGGGGGTATTTTTGTTGTTGTTGTTGTTGTTGTTGTTGTTGTTTTGTGGGAAAGGGGGGGAGGGGCGTGCTCGCACTTTACTGATGTTGCAGAGTTGATGATTGAGGAAGGGGGTGTTGTTGTTGATAATATTGATGGTGTAAGGTGATACTATTGTTGTTTATGTTGATGTTTGGGGGGGGGGGTTGTTATTTGGTTGTTGTTTTTTGTTGTTGTGGTAGCAGAAATAGTATTGGTTGTGAGATTATAATGATGTTGGTTTTCAAGCTTTTGATGATCAAGATTTAGATACCGTTGCAGTTCTATTTGTTGTAAAGAGTTGGATTTTTTTAAGTACCTGTGGTTACTTATTGTTGTGGTCATTATTGTTTCTGCCGTACTTATATATTGTTTGTCTTAGTCTGTTTTTGTAACGTATTTGTGTTGTTTAGCTGTTGCCACAGCTGCTTTAAAAGATTGTTATCTTTCGTTGCTTTTGATGGTACTGATGTTGTCATTTTCCTTTTTCGCTTGTGTTGCCTTAACAGGTATTGTTGTTGTTGTTGTTGTTGTTGTTGATGATGTTGTTGTTGTAGTTGGTGTAGTTGTTGTTATTATTGCTGTTGTTGTTGTTATTGCTGCTGCTGTTGCTGTTGTTGTTGTTGTTGTTGTTGTTGTTGATGATGATGATGATGATGATGATGATGATGATGATGATGATGATGATGATGATGATGATAAAGTTGTTGTTGTTGTTGTTGTTGTTGTTGTTGTTGTTGTTGTTGAAGTGTTGTTGTTGAAGTGTTGTTGTTGTTGTTGTTGAAGTGTTGTTGTTGTTGTTGTTGTTGAAGTGTTGTTGTCGTCGTCCTCATCCTAATCCGGGTATGCCTCTGAAGTGTTGACTCGTGAACGATACGGTCTTGGATAACATTGTGTCAGCTAGGGATGCTTGTCTTTGGAATTCTGAGTCTTTCTGTCTCGATGGTTTGCTGACATACTGGTTGGCTGGTTAACACTTTACAGTCACAGAGACATCAGAACAAAATACCCCATCTGGCCACTCAGCCAGGAGAGAGACTGCAACGGACTTCTTGGGCCTGGCCATAGAGTTACCTCCTTTTAAACCTATAGTGTACATCTATGGGCCTGGCGCAGAACTGTGCCAGGTGACCGGGACGAATCATTTTCACCGTCGCATTATTGCACCGAGTGACCGGAAAGTGTTAAATGAAGTTTTGGCTGATTGGCTTGTCAGTTTGCTGGTCAGCTGACTGATCAGTTATTGTTTGGGTCATTGATTGGTTGTTTGGAGTATGAATTGGATGGAGTGCTAGTTTGTTTGGCAGGTTTATTGGTAAATTTGTTGATTGATTGGTTAGTTGGGGTATTGATTGATTGGCAGGTTGGTTAGAATATTGGTTGATTTCTGCATTGATTCTTTGGAGCATGTTTTGAATGGTTTGTTAATAGAAATGTCTGTTGATTGGTTGGTCGATTGGAGTGTTGGTTGAAAAGAGAATTGATTAAAATATTGTTTGAATGAAGTATTTGAATGACAGTCTTGTTTGTTACAGTTTTGGTTGATTCGTTTATTGGTTGATTAGCGTACGTACTAATTAATTTGCAGGTTATTCTTTTTAAATTATTTTTTTAAGGTAGGCAAGCTGGCGCATTGGTTTTTTGTGTTATTGGTTTTAACGGTCTCTTGTTGAATCGATGATTAATGCGCATTTATTTCGGAAGTTTCTGGGTCGTTGGTTCATTTTGCTGGTTGACCTGATATGCCATTCTATCTGTGCCGTGCATATAGAGACTACTAACTTTTTTTTTCAGTGAACGTGGGTGTCATTACAAAACGACACTTCATCGTGGACCATTTAAATCTGTCTGCCAGTCTGTCTGTCTGTATGTCTGTCTGTCTGTTTGTCTGTCTGTCTGTCTTTCTCTCTCTCTCTCTCTCTGTTTCTCTCTGTTTCTGTCTCTCTTTCTCTGTCTCTGTCTCTCTGTCTCTCTCTTCCCCCCCTCTCTCGCTCTCTCTCTCTCTCTCTCTC